GGGGGGGGGGGGACTAGCGGGTAGTGAAACAATAAGGACGCGCAGGATGAAGATGATAATTATTGACGAAGCACAAAGAAAAACGAAAATCCTCGAGGATAACGAATTCGCGCTCGAGCGTCTCTTTATTTTTGTTCCCCCTTTCGCATTTTTCTTATCCCAGCTCCTCCTCGCGTGTTATTATTATTATCGGTGCTCCTCGTCCCCCCCCCCTGATTATACATAACGTATAACGGTACAATAGTAATCGTTACCAATAATATGATTCATATATTTCAATTATACGTAATTTGTGTATATACATGTATATATACAAAAGCACATACAAGCTTTGTATTATATGTATATATATACACATATATGTATACGCATATATATTCTATTTGTATATCTATATAGTTGTATCTTTCGTCGACAATCGCTCTATTTCTTTTCGGCTCTCGTTCAGCGCATACGTCTATCTCTCTCGTGCCTTGCCGCTTGTTCGTCCCGGCCAATCGCGCGTGTAATCCAATCGCAGATTTACCACCGACGATACAGTAGGCGAACCACCGCGTTCCTTTTACCAAAAATCCGTGGCCCTTCGGCGCAGCGCTGATCGGCATTCCTTATCGGGTATTTAATAAAAAATTACAAAAAAAAAGTTCCTCCGTCCGTTTCGCCTCGTTCACGAACAGTAGAAGAAATTCGAGGAGCAGCACAGGCTGTCTCCTCCGGTCGCGACGCTGCACGAGCTTCTACCGTCGTTGGTCTCCTCCTCTTGTTTTCCGCAGTCTCTCTCTCTGGCCTCTTCTACAGCCGCCTCCTTCGGCTTCAGCCGACTTCCTCCGCTGGCATCGCTTCTTCGCCTCCGGCATCCCCGTCAGCTCGGCCTCTTTCCACGTAGCCGGTACTCTCGAGATTCGTTACGGAGCTGAAGCACGTCCTCGAGGATGCCGAAGGGAAGTCTGAACCTTCTTCTTGCTGCAGGTCTCCGTGATGATGACGATGACGACGAGAAGGTCAATAAAGACAATGAGAAGGTCAATGCTGACGGTAGTGGCTCTTGAGGAAGAGTTAAGGTATGCGAATACCTCCACCCTGGCGAAATTATAATCCTCCGTGATGAATGATCCTCGTCGCGAATACGACGTGAATGAGCACCAGGTTCGTCCCGCGACGCTGAGGTAAGAATTTATCCGATTACCGATCACCGTAGATCCTCGAAGAGATCCCCGGCTCACGGCTCACCATTCTCACCAGCAGAAGACCGAGAGTTCGCTGCCGTGCTCCCCGCTGTGTCTCCAGGCCGTAACCGCTCGTGCTTTGAGCTGAAACCGTGAAGAGTCCAGGTTATTAATTCCGAACGGGAGAGAAGAGGAGGAGAGGAGGAACGAGCTAGAAGGAGAACAAGGGAAGAACCGTGGGGATAGAGAGAAGTCGGAAGAAAACGGGGCCCGTCTCGCCGTTGATGCGACTTCCGTTCGTCCTTAAGGGTATTAATTGGTTGTCCGGGGTATAATCGGAATCGATGGAGCCCGGACGAAATTCGATGCGTGGGCCGCACTCGAGTGGGGGAGGGGTGGTAGAAACAATAAGGCTGGCTGGCTGGCTAGCTGGCTCGAATGCTTCGCAAGAGGGATTCAGTGAGCGGAGGCTGAATCCGTAGGGTGGGAGTGCTCGATATTTTAAACGAGAGAGGGTCGGGATAGAAATCTGGCGAGGGTGGTGCACGCTTTGAACACACAAGTGGGCTAAGGTTCATCCCGAGCCGGGGTTGGCTACCACCGTGGCTGCTGGAAACACACGCTGGCTGTGCTGCACGGTCCAGGAAGGAAAAGAGGAGGTGGAGGGCAGATGTAGAAGTTGCGTCGAAACTAGAGGTGGAAGTAAAAGTAGTAGAGGAAGAAGAAGAAGAAGTAAAAGTATAAGGAGGGAGGGGAAACCGTATATTTATACATGGTAAAGACGGTTGGTTGGGCTAGGCTTTTAGCAGGATCGCATTTCCGTGGCTTTGTGCTTTCAGCTTTCAACGGCAAGTAGGTAGGGGAAGCTCGTCTTACCTTCAGCCACTCTCATTTACCATCCAACCCGGGCTGCTGTAGGAGTCCTCCCTAGCGAACCAACCACCTCGGCTCAAATCTCTATACTACCCAGGGACCCCGTTGCTAACCTACGTGGCACAAGATACCCCAGGATACGCGCACGCACACCTGACCCTTCTCTCTCTCTCTCTCTCTCTCTCTCTCAGTACAACCAATATAACCTAGAGCCCACCCTCGACATCCTCTCTCTGCACCCTCCACACAGCCGAAGCTCCATCACGTTTCTCTGATCAGTCAACCGTTAAGCCATCCTGAATTCGATAATCAACCAAAATTCTCTAAGGCTTCATAAACATTCCGTACTTGTGGAATTCTGCTCCGGGAGCAAGCTCAGCCACCCATCCCTCGCGCCAACTACTTACGATCTTACCACTTTAAGATATCAGATACTTGTATTAGGACTGTCTCAAAGGCACCCGACTATTGTTCCCCAGCCTTAAGGGTCCCTACCTTCGAGAAAGGACCGTCGATCCAGATAACGTTTCATCCCTTGACGACTTACAAACGAAGAAAGAGAACATCCTCCCCTGCCTCCCACCCACCTCGGGCTCTCCTTTTCGCCAGGAAGTAATCTGGTAGGTGTATATAACTACAGGCACGCGTTCAACGTACTCCTTTCGATGAGCTGGATATATTTGTGTGCCTGGCACGTGCTGGGCTCTTCCTGTCGACAAGGAATCGAAAAGCTCTTTCAATTTCCCTTTCCGACTTTCCTACCCTATATAGAACCTGCTATTCCGTAGCACGCGCAATGGTCGTCCTAAGGATATTACGATATCAGAAAGTTTCAATACAGGCATAGTAGCGAACCGCAAATATAACCAAAAGGTCCAGGTGACTCTTACGCGCTAAGAGCCATAAGAGGATGGCACCTTAAAAACACATTCTCCTCACGGATCAACCTACTGGGTAACGTTTGTGTACCCCTGGGGCTCTGCTCTGGCACCTGGACGTCTGAAACCGGTCAGCAGGCTAATGCCAGCTAATTCTACGTATACACGTGTGCGAACAGGTAGTTAGAAGAAACGAAACTCGTTCCTCGGCTCTGAACAGCAAGTTGAATAGCAGCTCGGATTAAAATTACTGTTCAATTGCCACGATTTACGCGAGTGTCCCTGAACTACCCGTGGGACTTCCTGATGGCTTGTTTCGCGTGCTGCCGTCAACTTTCAAGAAGCATTTGGAACCTCATGACAAGAGAGGCGCCCAATCGTGCCTGATACTAATGTCACCAGGAACTTGACGAACAGAGTGAATGATCACCGGTACCGGAACTGCTCTCCCCACAGTCTCCTTCCTCTGCCACGAGTCTCTAACCCTCGGAGCGATCAAGTTCCAGTCGACTGGGGCTTAACGTGGATTCGTGGAATAACCGGGAAGCCAGTCGGCCGATAGAGATCTCTGGAAGTTTCAGTGAATCTGAAATATCGATTGAAATGGCGCTGAAGAAGCCAAAGGGTCAAAGGGCGAGTTCGCGCGCGGATACCCGCGGGGTCGAAAGGGGAGATCGAAGAATCGCGAGCCTCTTAAATTTTCCACGAGTCGTTGGTTAAACGCCCTGGGCGGATCCCGTTCGTTCGTTTTTCCCCGTTCCCGACCTTCCGTCCTGGAATCGCTTTAGAAACGTGGGGAACGGAGAGAGGAAAAAGTGTAGCGAGCAGCGAGGACGCCGGGGATATGGGTACCGGAAACGGAGATGACGGAGAGCACGCTTGGAACATATACCCGCCACCCCCC